AGGGGGGCAAAGCAGAGAGATTTAAAAAAAAAAAAAAAAAAAAAAAAAACAGCTTCCAGAAGTTATTCTCATATTAACATTTGTTTTTTTTTTTATGAAAACCTAGCACAAAAAAAAACAAAAAAAAAAAACAAGACGCTACATTAACCTCTTGGTGGTGGCCGCATGGAAATGTGTGGCCTCCCAGTGTCAGGGCCTTGACTCCGAGCGGCCGCACATTTGCGTGCAATTAAGAAAAACATATGTGCTGATAGCGCACGCCCTGCGCGCTCCCAGCACACGTTCGGTACTCACGGAAAGGTCCCCATCTCCTCTTACAATCGGGACCTTTCCCGATCATGTGACTGCCGTGACAGCAAATCATGGCGGTCACATGACCCTAAAACCCCGCCCCGCCTCCTGAAACCCTTAAAGGGCTGGGAGGCGCCAAGGGGTTAAAAGAGAGCTTACTAAGAAAATACAAAGAGATTCTGCACATGATTTATGGCTTTATGGTTGAACTGGATGGACTTTTGTCTTTTTTCAGCCAGACTAACTATGTAACTATGTACATGCACATGACTTACATAGAGAGTATCTCCGCAAAGCAGCATCATAAACACGAGAGATCGCATACAGTGCTGAGCCAGCACATGGCGGACTGCAGGGTAAACATATGGAGGTATTCGTACCGGATCCATACTGGGGTTCTGATGGCTGAGCAAAGGTAAAAAATACACAAATATAGAAAGTATTGCTGTTGGCAAAAGAGAACTTTATACTCCAGGCAGTGAAGTCTTGGAATCGGCACATTGTAATAATTAAAGGAGAAGTTTGGGGTCAGCAAATAAAATAAACAAACCTACATCCTCGCCTCCATACTGCAGCACAAGTGTGACACCGCAGGCATCCTGTATCGGCTCCAAGGCTAGGTTCACACCTCTGTGTGTTGCAATTGAAGCGTTTTTTCTGCGCATTTTTGTTTCTGAATATGCATTTTTGATGCATTTTGCCAATAGGAAAGTATTGACTTTGATGCCACTTTGGAAGGGTGTGACTTTGATGGGGCTTTGGGTGGATGTGACTTTGTATGGGTGCAACTTGGATGCTAATTGATGGCCAGAGACTGTAAAGTCGCATCAGAATCGCTCTACATGAACAGAACTGTCATACCTTCCTATTAGCAAAAAATAAATAAAAGTTGCATCAAAGTCACACCCATCCAAAGTCACATCACAGTCTCACCCATCCAAAGTCACATCAAAGTCACACCCATCACCAAAGTCACATCAAAGTCACATCAAAGTCACACCCATCCAAAGTCACATCAAAGTCACACCCATCCAAAGTCACATCAAAGTGCATCAAAGTCACATCAAAGTCACACCCATCCAAAGTCACATCAAAGTCACATCACCCAGTCACATCAAAGTCACACCATCCAAAGTCACATCAAAGTCACACCCATCCAAAGTCACATCAAAGTTGCATCAAAGTCACATCAAAGTCACACCCATCCAAAGTCACATCAAAGTCACACCCATCCAAAGTCACATCAAAGTTGCATCAAAGTCACATCAAAGTCACACCCATCCAAAGTCATCAAAGTCACATCAAAGTCACACCCATCCAAAGTCACATCAAAGTCACACCCATCCAAAGTCACATCAAAGTCTCACCCATCCAAAGTCACATCAAAGTCACACCAATCCAAAGTCACATCAAAGTCACACCCATTAAAGTCACAAAGTCACCCATCAAAGTCACACCCATCCAAAGTCACATCAAAGTCACACCCCATTAAAGTCCAATTAAAGTCACACCCCATCCAAAGTCACACACCCATCCAAAGTCACATCAAAGTTGCATCAAATTCAATGCTTTCCTATTGGTAAAAAAAAAAAAAAAAAAAAAAAGTAAAATGCATAAAAAAAAAACCACACTACATGCATTTTTGTTTCTGAATATGCATTTTTGATGCATTTTGCACCTTTTTTTTTGCCAATAGGAAAGTATTGACTTTGATGCCACTTTGAAAGGGTGTGACTTTGATGGGGCTTTGGGTGGATGTGACTTTGTATGGGTGCAACTTGGATGCTAATTGATGGCCAGAGACTGTAAAGTCGCATCAGAATCGCACTACATGAACAAAACTGTCATACCTTCCTATTAGCAAAAAATAAATAAATGAAAGTTGCATCAAAGTCACACCCAGGGGCGGACTGACCATTTGGAAACTCGGGCACTGCCTGAGGGCCCGGGGTCTGTAGGGGCCCCCATGAGATGCCCCTGGTATCTTTTTCATAGGCTTTTTTGAGGACACAGGGGCCCCATGATCCCCTATTGCCCGGGGGCCCCATGAGTTGTCAGTCCGCCCCTGGTCAAACCCATCCAAAGTCACATCAAAGTTGCATCAAAGTCACACCCATCCAAAGTCACAAAGTCACACCCATCCAAAGTCACATCAAAGTTGCATCAAAGTCACACTGATGCGACTTTGATGTGACTTTGGATGGGGGTGTGACTTTGATGTGACTTTGGATCGAAGTCACACCCATCCATTTCGATACTTTCCTATTGGTAAAAAAAAAGAAAAAAGTAAAATGCATAAAAAACGCACTACATGCATTTTTGCTGCCTGTCTAATGAAGTCTTTTGAACCAAAAACGCACCATGTTGCATTTAAAAAAGTCCCTGACACTTTCTAAAAGTGCAGCGGCTGAAAAAAAAGCATACATGTCAACGTGTCCCATAGGAAACCATGTTACATGGACTATAGTGCGTTTCTGCATAATGCAAACCTCACTCAGCCTTAGGCCTGGTTCACACCAATGCGCTTTGCTTTTGATCTGTTTTTGCATTTTGCTTTGCGTTTTTACCACGTTTTGCACTTTTTTTCAGCTTTTTTTTTTTTTGTTAAAGGGGAAATGTTTTTGTTGCGGAGCATTATAAAAACATAAAATGCAGCAATATCACACTTCATGCATTTTAGTAAAGTCTCCGTTGAATTTTATTGTAGCAAAAATGCAGCTTTTTGCATTTAAAAAAGTCCCCGATCCTTTCCAAAAAAATCAGCAGCTCAAAAAAGCATGAATGTGAACGTGTCCCATAGGAAACCATGTTACATGGACTGTAGTGCGTTTCTGCAAAATGCACTAAGAAACCGCATTAGTGTGAACAAGGGCTTGTTCACGTGTCAGGTTGGGGGTGGTAAAACCCTGCGATTAGACCACTACTTCCTGTAGCTGCAGAGGCATTGGCCAGGGATGTATACGTTCCATGGTATGCATTATGTGCCCTGCAGGGGCGGACTGACAACTCATGGGGCCAAACTCAAAAAAACCTATGAAAAAGGTACCAGGGGCGTCTTATGGGGCCCCCTACTGACCCCGGGCCCTCGGGCAGTGCCCGAGTTTCCAAATGGTCAGTCCGCCCCTGGCCCCCTGACGCTTTCAGCAGGTTGAGCACCCGCCAAACGCAATCCATTCAAGTAAATGAGCCGCTTTGTAGGCGCCCCACAACCTCTTGCAGTGCAGGATTCAAGCAGGTGGTGAAGGGGTGATACAACGCAGATCGCTCTTCAGAGAGCAAATGCACATGTGAAGGAACCTAGAAACCGAGAGCGGAGTGATTACATGACCGCTGGTCGCTCAGTTCTTGGTTTGCTCACAGAGGAGAGCAGTGGCCGTGAAGGAACCTAGAAACCGAGAGCGGAGTGATTACATGACCGCTGGTCGCTCAGTTCTCGGTTTGCTCACAGAGGAGAGCAGTGGCCGTGAAGGAACCTAGAAACCGAGAGCGGAGTGATTACATGACCGCTGGTCGCTCAGTTCTCGGTTTGCTCACAGAGGAGATCAGTGGCCGTGAAGGAACCTAGAAACCGAGAGCGGAGTGATTACATGACCGCTGGTCGCTCAGTTCTCGGTTTGCTCACAGAGGAGAGCAGTGGCCGTGAAGGAACCTAGAAACCCGAGAGCGGAGTGATTACATGACCGCTGGTCACTCAGTTCTCGGTTTGCTCACAGAGGAGAGCAGTGGCCGTGAAGGAACCTAGAAACCGAGAGCGGAGTGTGATTACATGACCGCTGGTCGCTCAGTTCTCGGTTTGCTCACAGAGGAGAGCAGTGGCCGTGAAGGAACCTAGAAACCGAGAGCGGAGTGATTACATGACCGCTGGTCGCTCAGTTCTCGGTTTGCTCACAGAGGAGAGCAGTGGCCTTGAAGGAACCTAGAAACCGAGAGCGGAGTGATTACATGACCGCTGGTCGCTCAGTTCTCGGTTTGCTCAGAGAGGAGAGCAGTGGCCGTGAAGGAACCTAGAAACCGAGAGCGGAGTGATTACATGACCGCTGGTCGCTCAGTTCTCGGTTTGCTCACAGAGGAGAGCAGTGGCCGTCAGTCGCCGCTCTCTACTTCACCAGTGCTCACTGGAGCACCAGCCTACGGGCGGCACAGCTGGCTCTCACCCTGACAGCTGAAGCTAGCTTTCAAATCAGGCAGCAGGGTGGATCCTACCAATATTGTCAGGATCCTTCTCAAGCCTGGCACGGCTCTACCGCAGGCAAAAGCTGATTCTGGGTCATAGGAGAACAAAAAGTAAATGCACTCCCGAAAGAGTTGTACAAAAAAAAAAAAAAAAAAGTCTGTCCATAATTCTCTTTTAATCTTTTTCTAATTTCCTGTCCGAAGCTCTTGCTGGTGGCCGGTGGTTTTTCACGCAGACAACTCTGCCCATCGGAAACACTGATCAATATTGTGATTTCTGCTCCGGAGCAGCTGCCATCAGGATATATAAAAGTGACATGAGAAGGGGGCTGGAGAGTCCTGCATTTCATCCCATCTCCGGTGTCATCCCTTTCACATTGCACTTGTGTTGGTGGGACTCACCGTGCTGTTTGCAGAGTGGAAGGGAGTCCCTGCAGCTCTCTCGTAGTAGAGAGAATATAAAATACTGGCAAAACAATCCCAATTAAAAGCATGACTAAAACGGCGTTCCACCATCGGATCCCCCAGTCCGCCCCGAGATACGAGTCTTTCTGCCTTGGTATAGGTGTCACTTGGAGACTGTCGGAGCCAAAAGGTTCCCCGAGCAGTTCCTGGTTCTGTGTGGCCTCCTCGATGTTCTGGTCGATCTCCCGGAAGTACTGACTTATGTCCCTGTTGTCCGCAGAGCCAACATCGCCATCCGCAGGTGGCTCGGCGACAACGTCGTGAGCGTTTGCAGAAGTCTGTGCGCCGGGGTCCTCGCCACGTTCTGTAAACATCCCATGCATCTTCACTGGGATCTTAATGGTCTTCACGGCGTACATGTCCTGCTCTGTGAGGAAGTTGTTCACTCGCTTAATGTCTGCGACCTGGAAGGGGGAGGGGTGGGAGGGGGGGGGGGGGGTGGAGAAGGAAACATGGAAACATGACAAAGCAATGGAGACAGAGACAGCCAAACAAATACATTCTTTAACCACTTGACCTTCACGAGGGTTTACCTTCTTCATGACCAGGCCTTTTTTTGCTATTCAGCACTGCTCTACTTTAACTGGCAATTGTGCGGTCGTGCGACACTGTAATGAAATTTAGATCATTGGTTTCACCACTAAGGTTCTTAGTTTTTTTTTTATTATTATTATTATTATAATACAGTATTTATATAGAGCCAAAGGGTTTGCTCAGCGTTGTACAGTAGCAAGGGGGACAGAACATGAGACAAGACAGTAACAATACAATACACGAGGGGTTCGAGGGCCCTGCTCTTTCCAGCTTACAATCTAGGAAGGAGGGGAAGTGGTACAGGAGGAGATGGCTGTGGGGGATGAAGTGGTGAGCGGAGGAGGTTAATTGTTAGGTGAGGTCGGGTGTTAGGTGAGGTTGGGGTAGGCTTCTCTGAAGAGATGGGTTTTCAGGGTGCGCCTGAAGGTGAGGAGGGTAGGTGACATTCTGATGGGGGTAGGGAGTTCCAGAGGATGGGGGAGGTCCTAGAGAAGTCCTGCAATCGGGCGTGGGAGGAGGAGACCAGGGAGCTAGAGAGTAGGAGGTCCTGTGAGGAGCGGAGGGCACGGGTAGGGTAGTATCTGGGTATCAGGTCAGTTATGTAGTTCGGGGCGGCATTGTGAGTGACCTTGTAGGTCAGAGTTAGCATAAATATATTTATTTTAGTAACAGTGAAGTGGCGAGCGGGCGACCAGATATGATTATTGCACCACATCCAGGGGCGGACTGACCATTTGGAAACTCGGGCACTGCCCGAGGGCCCGGGGTCAGTAGGGGGCCCCACGAGATGCCCCTGGTACCTTTTTCATAGGCTTTTTGGAGTTTGGGCAAGTACACAGGGGCCCCATGATCCCCTATTGCCGGGGGCCCCATCAGTTGTCAGTCCGCCCCTGACCACATCCCTTAAAATTGCAAATATTCAACAGAGAAGATGGAACTTTCAGGGTCAATGTCATTAGCAGGGGCGGACTGATAACTCATGGGGCCCCCGGACAATAGGGGATCATGGGGCCCCGGTTTCCTTGCCCACACTCAAAGCGCACCCAAAAAAGCATATAAAAAAGGTACCAGGGGCCTTTCATGGGGCCCCCTACTGACCCCGGGCCCTCAGGCAGTGCCCGAGTGCTGGAATGGTCAGTCCGCTCCTGGTCATTAGTAGAGTGTACGGTATTATCACTGATCACTGTATTAGTGTCACTGTCAGTGATCCTCACAGCCAGTGTTTTGTTAGTGCCAGATTGCCCGCCACACTATAAGTCGCTGATTACAGACACTACCAGTATAGTGGCATTGCACAAACCAATTAATATATACTTATTGGGATTTTTTTTTTCTTTTACCAAAGTCATGTAGCAGAATACATTTTATGAAAGAATGTAATTTTATTGGATATATTTAATAACAGAAAGTAGGAAAAAATAAAATAAATATATATTCAATAGAGAAGATGGGACTTTCAGGGTGCATGAACATGAATACTAAACATATTAAAAAGTTATATCATTTTTATTTCGTATTTTTTTTAAAAAAAAAAAAAAAAAAAAAAAAAAAAAAAGAACAAATACAAAAATTATTATTGTATTTTTTTCTTTTTTTGTTGTTTTTTTTTTTAAAATACGAAATAAAAATAATATTAACTTTTTAATATGTTTAGTATTCATGTTCATGCACCCTGAAAGTCCCATTTTCTCTACTGAATATATATTTATTTTATTTTTTTCCTACTTTCTGTTATAAAACATCCAATAAAATTACATTCTTTCATAAATTGAGGCCAAAATGTATTCTTCTACATGACTTTGGATAAAAAAAAAAAAAAAATATCCCAATAAGTATATATTAATTGGGTTTGTGCAATGTCACTATACTGGTAGTGTCTGTGATCAGCGGCTTATAGTGTGGCAGGCAATCTGGCACTAACAAAACACTGGCTGTGAGGACCACTGACAGTAACACTAATACAGTGACCAGTGATAATACCGTACACTGTACTAATGACACTGGCTGGGAAGGGTTAGCCTGATGGGGCAATCAAAGGGTTAACCGTGTGCCTAACAATGTGTAATGTGTGCTGCTTTTAGGCTAGGTTCACATCTATGCAGACTGCGGATCGTGCCATTTCACCACGCAGTCTGCGTTTTTTTTTTTTTTTTGGTCAATAGGAAAGTATTGACTTTGGTGCGACTTTGGATGGGTGTGACTTGGATTCGACTTTGGTGCAATGGGTGCGACTTTGATACGACTTTTTTTTTTGCCAATAGGAAAGTATAGTAGTTCTGTTCATGTAGGATGACTTCGATGCGACTTTACGCTCTCAAGTGGCACTCAAGTCGCACCCCAAAGTCACCAAACCCAAGTCCCACCCACCCAAAGTCGCATCAAAGTCGCATCGAAGTTACACCCATCCAAAGTCACATCAAAGGTCACACCCATCCAAAGTCGCATCAAAGTCAATACTTTCCTATTGGGAAAAAAAAAAACAAAACGCAAAATGCATGGTGTGGGTCCATTGTCTATTACACGCAAAACGCAATCTGCTGCAGGATAAAAAAATCCTTGACCCTTTCCGAAAAAAAATGCACCGGCTCAAAACACATAGATGTGAACTAGATCCATAGGAAATCATGTTTAATGGACTGTAGAGCGTTTCTGCAAACTGGAAAATACACAGAAATCCGCACAAGTGTGAATCTAGGGCTACTCACAGATCTGGCTGCTTTTCTCTCCTGAACTCAAGAGTTGATTTCAGGGAGAAGAAACTGCCAGATCCCTGCCTGTGTATGCAGTTCTGTTTGTTTGTAAACACAGAACTCTGTGCTATGATTGGCCACAGACTGATCATCAGGTGTACAACCACAATTGCTGGCTCTAACCTGCTGAGCTGACAAGCTCGTGCTGTGTCCAATCACAGCACAGGTCAGCAGGGAGGGGTGTGCATGCTGTGGCCCCGCTAGCAGTAAATCTACTGTGAGCTGGTGGCAAATGGTTATAATTGCTCCACATCTGCCTCCCCCCTCTGCCAATCCCTTCATTGGGTCCCGATTGCCCAACGCATCAAATTCAAACTGCTAACTCTGACCTACAAAGCCGTTCACAATGCCTGCCCCAAACTACATAACCGACCTGATACCCAAATACTACCCTACCCGTGCCCTCCGCTCCTCACAGGACCTCCTACTCTCTAGCTCCCTGGTCTCCTCCTCCCACGCCCGATTGCAGGACTTCTCTAGGACTTCCCCCATCCTCTGGAACTCCCTACCCCAATCCATCAGACTGTCACCTACCCTCCTCACCTTCAGGCGCACTCTGAAAACCCTCCTCTTCAGGGAAGCCTACCCCACCGTCACCTAACACCCGACCTCACCTAACAACTAACCTCCTCCACTCCTCCCACCACTCCATCCCCCACAGCCATTTCCTCCTGTACCACCTCCCCCTCCCTCCTAGATTATAAGCTCGAAAGTGCAGGGCCCTCGAACCCCTCGTGTATTGTATTGTTTCTGTCCTGTCTCATGTTCTGTCCCCCTTGCTACTGTACAGAGCTGAGCAAACCCTTTGGCGCTATATAAATACTGTATAATAATAATAATAATTAACTTCAGGAATTTTTTTTTTTTTAATTTATATTGGTCCAGCTTGGTTGAAAGAAAAGGCTAATGCAGGCCATAGACAGGTCGAAAATCGGCTGATCTTTCGAAAAAAAAGAAAAAAATCGGTCGTTCAGTCAGCCGATGTTACCACCAATGGTAAAAAAAAGAAAAAAAAAAAAAAAAATCGGCCAACTAAATCATAAAGTTCAGCCCATAACTTCTACCCCTTGCAGGTCACGGCTCATGCGCGGATTTTTTTATCGGTAAAACGATCCGCCGATTTGCCCATCATTGCCAGGAAAATTGGCCGATCGTCAAAATCGGCCGCAAATTTTCCAACATGACCGATAAAAAAAAACTGTGCAAAAAAACCCAAAAAACGGCCGCCAAAACCCACTAACAGTGCGAAAATTGGCCGATTTTTGACCCGTCTATGGCCGACATAAGATCCCATATTTTTTTTTTTAGCCAGCAACTGGCTTTGTTGTATTAAGTGATCCAGGTGGCTGTAAATTTCTACTCCGCACTCTTAATGGGTCATCCAACGACCCCCCCCCCCCCCCCTCATGGTGATTCTGGGGCTCTCCCATTGCTCCCAGCACAACAATAACCAGTCAGGACAGCTGCCACACAGAGGAGATGGAGAAGCATTCGTTCCCCCATCTCCTCTGATTTCATCACTTCCAGGATGCAGAGCCATCATTTCCTAGCTGCTACGCATCACGATCTGTGATTGGTTAGTTGCTTCGGAGGGCAGGGGAGACATCAGCAGTCTAACAGACCCCTGATGTCTCCATAAAGAGTACCTGTCACCTGCTCAAAGCAATCACAAGGAAGCTCCTAGATTGTAAGCTCCAAGGAGCAGGGCCCTCGATCCCCTCATGTTTTGCATTGTATTGTTGTTGTTCTGTCCCCCTTTGTAATGTACAGCGCTGAGCGAACTATTGGTGCTTTATAAATACTGTATAATAATAATAATAACCCCTTGTGATGACAATAAAGTTTAATGAAAAATTTAAAAAAAGTGATAAAAAAAATAAACAAAATTGTATAGACACTCCCAGATACACACAAATGCAAACGCACGCACAAGTGCGGCACGCTTATGTGAACGGTGATTGCACCGCGAATGTCAGAGTGATTAAAGGGCCATAATTTACAATTAACCCCTTAATCCCGGCCCTTGTAGAGGTTTCTGATGCCTGGAGGTGGGGTGGGGGGGTTTCTGATCATGTGACCACCATGATTGGCAAG